AAAGAAAGAAAGAAAGAAAGAAAGAAAGAAAGAAAGAAAGAAAGAAAGAAAGAAAGAAAGAAAGAAACATTGTGATGTCTCCACCCAGTTTTGCTTCAGGTTCCTCCCATTACTATTATAGAATGTGGAACTAAAAAATTACTTCTGTAGGAATTTGGACTTCTACTGAAAACAAAATGTAGAAAAGAAGAAAATGTACAAGAACACACATTTGCCAAATTTGAATCTTCGGTCATAACCTGTCCTCCTCCTGGGCTCGACAGAATAAGGGGTCTTAACTGCTCTCCTGAAACACAGAAGGGAAGGCAGCAGACCTGATTTCCACTGGAGAGAGAATTCCAGAGCATGGGAGCAGTGACTGATAACGCCCTGCTGCCGAGGACCTGTCAGATGGCATTTGGAATTTTCTTTTTTGCTAATTTTTAAAAAATCTTGCCTTTATCATTTTTATAAATAACTCCAGGTGGCGAACATACCTCACTTAGGCGAACATACCTCACTTAAGCGGGTCATGGAGATCTCACACTTAGTTGTGAGGAGACCACGGATGTGTTGGGGATTATCTATTGCACAATCAACTTCTCAGCACTCTGGTGCCACCCGGTTCCCCCCCCCCTTCCATTACATTCCAAGGGAAGGTGTCAAAAGAAATTCCACCAGTGAGTCTTTTTGCTATTGGGAGTTAGAGCAGGAAATTACAGTTCCCCCTGCCCCCTGCAACATGGAGCAACACTCAAGAACACTGTCCAGAAACACACAAAGAAATGCCAAAGGTATGGTAGGAAATGGAAAGCCCTTTTTTACTCTTTGTAAAAAATAAAAAATAAAAAAAATCCTACCTTGCCCTCAGCATTCTAGTACCTCTTGGGAGGGCCTGTGTCCTACCACCACCAACACCCCCAGTAATGATAAGAATGTATTTTTTGCACATTCCCAGTGTATTCTTCCTATGGCTAAGCCATTTTCCACTGCAATTTAAGCCTGTCTACTCAGAAGCAATTCCTACTGAATTAATTCAGTGGGGCTTACTCTGTAGAGCAGTGTTTCTCAACCTTGGCAACCTGAAGATGCGTGGACTTCAACTATTGAAGTCCATGCATCTTCAAGTTGCCAAGGTTGAGAAACACTGCTCTACAGAGTAAAGATTACATTCTCATTCCCTTTTGAGAGAACTGAAAAAGGTAGAAACATAGAGAAGAGAAAAAGGTGGATAGAGCATGCTTTATTATTATTTTTTTAAAGTTGACGCTGTTGCCCCCAGGTTCCTGGCATAGCCTTATCTCTCCACACAGACTGCTGAGGTACAGCCTGGTGCGCTGCGAGTTTGCTCTTTGGCCAAAACGGTTCAGCTGGGCTCCACGCTACTCCTAGAAAACTACTTTCTTTCCTGTCTTCCCTCTTGGCAAATGCATTTAAAGGAAGTTCAGAGTTGTCAGGCATGCATGATCGCACACGCACAGGTGTGTGCATACCAATGTACCATTGGATCCTGGGAATCCTAGACCTCAGACTCTTCCTTCTATTTAAATGAAGGCAGGAGCTGACAGACAGAAGACCATGATGATACGCATGTGAATAGATTGGTAGATCTCATAAGATTAATTTTATTACATTTGTTTATGAAGGGCATTCCAGTTTTGAAATAAATCCTTCAATGAAATAGTGGAATAGTCAGATTTACAAAGGAACAATTGCTGCTTCTCATGTAGGGAGACTCTAAATCGTAACATGAGCACTGTCACATTCAAGAGATCTATTACATAAACGTCATGGTTTCTCCATACTTCTAGGGAGTTGGGTACAATCACAATGGCCTAAATCAGTGTTTCTCAACCTTGGCAACTTGAAGACGTGTGGACTTCAACTCCCAGAATTAGAGCAGGCTGCTAACTCAGGCATTGTGGGCTGAGCGGTTGGTTCCCTACCAGTGTACAAAACCTGGCTTAGCATAAAGGTGTGCAAATTCTGTGGCTTGAAGACAGCTCCAAGTGGCGTGTGAGGAGGCCCCACTTGAACATTGGGCTGGGTCAAGCAAGCCACTGAACACAAGTTTTTCTCTAACATACCTTGAGGGTGAACAGCCTTCCTGTGCAGGGGCCCTCCAGGGATATAGGCCTGCACATCCCCTTGGGCTGACTCGGGTTGGGGAAAATGGGAATTGTAGCCCAATACATCTGGATGGCACTGGAGTAGGAAAGGCTGTATTAGGGTATAATTTCCTAGCTAAAGTAAATCCAGTTACCATGCAAAGCTGTTTGTCCTCGCAGATTCTTTTGACCACCAGGAGTCTCTTAAGATTCAAGGAGCTGAAAGAGCCTGTCAGTGCACAGATCCCTCCAAATTAAAGCCTGCTTAACTGCAATCCAATAAGGGTTGGTTTTTTGTCCTATTGTTGAAAAGTTTACTCACTCCACTAGGGTCTGAATAGTGGGATAATCCCCTCAGGAGGGTCAAGAAGGCTGAGACACAGAAGCAGTCAGAGACAAAGGCCTGGATGGGAGTCAGAAAGGCAGAGTAACCCACCTCTCATGATTAGTTTCATTAGTTTCCTCAGAGAGACAGGACCATGTCCAGCTGATCAAACTTCTGAGAAAAATTGAAGCGAACCCTGCCTGTGTCTGGTACCAATCCCAAAGTCTACCTTGAGCATCGAGGGACCCAGCTGCGTTCCAGAAACATAGGACTGGTTTGGTTATTGTAGGTGGTGTTAAGAACCTCTTTGCATCTTCGAGCTGTTAATAAAATTTAAATGGGGAAAATGGAGACTTTATAGCAGGGGTAGCTGATCGGAGCCGGAGAGGGCTGCAATGTGGCCTTCAGAATGCTTAGGGTGGAACCTAGTTCCAGTTGTTAATGGAACAGAAGACCATCATGATTAAGAAATCGTATTGATGAATGTAATTGATTCATTTTAATTCACTGTAAATCAAATCAAGTCAAATTTAGTTTTTATGCGAAACCATCCACTCCCAGAATGCAACTCCCAGGACACCACCCCAGGAAGAAGCACTGCTTCAGTTCAGAAAATATTGTGCATCCCTGTTTAATAGAGATGGCAATCTGCGACTCCAAGTACGGGGGACTGCTGCTGAGTTTCAAGGGCCTCTGACCTTTCCTGATTCCCTCTGGTGTCACCTGTTCTCTTGAAGCTTGGGCCCAGTGAAAAAACCAAGAGATGGATCAGCAGTTCCATTTTCCTTGATGTTTCTTTCTGGACAAGGATGTCCTTTGGGGACCAAAGAGAGACCGGAAGAAAGGAGCAGTGGCAGCCATGTTTCCTTTGAGAGCATTTTGTCAAAGCTCTCCTAAACTTAGAGGCAACAGTATTTCTAGTTAATTTGTTCATATCTTCTCTTTCTCTCATTTACAAACACTCACACAAACACACACAGCTGCAAGAGACACTCCTAGGATTGGCCAAAGGAAGTGTCCATCTGGGTTTCCACCTGGAGACCTTCAAGTGTGTTCCACCACTACGCAAGAGGATCATATACAGCAGTCTTACTTAAAAGCTGTAGGTCAGCTCACCTCCAACCTATGACTGGAAGCCTCTGCTTTGCTCCATGTACTTCTGCTGGTCGCCACAGAGGCTACCGTCTTCCAATTCCGGCCAATGCATTTCTGATGTGTGCGACCACAATCACTGTGCCAGCAGCAGCCAGTGCAAATAGGAGAAGAGGGATGGAAGGCGCATGGCCATGGGAGGGGATTACACTGGGAGCTCTGGAAAAGTAGGTGCAGTGGCTGAAAGACAAGGCAGCAGGGTGGTGGGAAGAGGGATGGTCGAGCCCTTTCTAACTACATTTGCTTCCTCTCTCTCCAGAGCTGAAATGGACAAGGGAAAGTGGAGACTTTCAAGTGACTCCAATAGCCTTTAAAAGACACTCCACTGTTCCATCTCAGAAATAATGGTGACAGCCTGTCACTCACAGAATGAATAGCTGAGTAATTATATGAACTTGGGATGGGTGGCAGTGTGTGTGTATATGCATGTCATGTTCTCCAAAGCTGTGTCTACTCTTTTGTGAATAGGGGAAAGAGAGATGTTTTGATGTTTCAATTATTGTATGTTTCACCTCTTCCTAGGAACCATCAAGAACAAATCTGACTGGTGCTTAGTCTTAAATCATAGGATTAACATCCCATGAAGGACATACTGAGCA